CAAATTTTGTCCTTTCAGCATAGCGCTTAAGATTGCATGATCAACGTCTTGCTTCTTGTTTTCGCCTAAGCGAAATACTGTAAGCTGCAAAAAAAGCAAGAAATTAAAGAAAAATCATTTATAGGATTTTATCAAAAGACAGAAATGTGAATTTTATTTAAAATAAAATACACAACTGAAAGCTTGCAGCAAGCAGCACTAGACAGAAAATATACAAAACAACCAACTCTGAAGGGTACACACAATGTGTTGTCCTAGCAAGAAGGCTACCAGTGCGCTGGACCGACTCACTATCTCGAGTGCTGGGAGTATTTTGGATACAGAAAATGCACTACGGTAGAAAAAAATGTTGCCAGCTGCATAATCAGAAAACCAAACTATGGATTAGCAATTGTTTCAAGTGTTCCAAGTACCGAAAAGCTCGCTTTTTCATATGCTTTGTAAGTGTTTTTTGAGGACGCGTGGCTGATGCTGGACCAGTGCTAGCAGTAACGAGTTGAACTGGATCGTCCTGATATTTTAGCCCGTATGTTTGTTAACCGTAAAAACCTCGTGAATGCTACTTTTGAAATTTGTTAACTGCGCGACAGTAACCAACCAAATCACGTCGTTTGGTGCAACACAAGACTTCTTCGAGGATTTGAGCCGGTGGTGTGGTACTGTGTCGAAACACCGACGCAATGAGAGTTAAAAGCTGTGTCCGAATTTCATCTGGCAGACTTCTGAAAGAAATTTAGAAAATTTATAAAAGCAAAAAATCAGTTTTCTAGGATAATGCAACGTAAACTGATCTTCGTTATCACTCTCAAATTGTGAATGGCTGTGGTTCAAGCTTACCTGAAGCGATGAGCAACACGTTTTCTGGTATTCTCAAAGTTTTCGAAAAAATATAAAAAACACACCCATCGTCAGAAACATGGCGATGCGCGAATGCAATGAGATCAGAAGCTCGTCCACTTCCGTCACAAACGATTACTGGAACCGGAGGTTCGCTGCAAAGTTTTTTAACAAAGATGCAAAGATTATTTTTCATTCAAACGCTCTGCCCCTAAAGAAGAAACGATCGCCAGCTGCAGGCTGACCATCAATGCAATATTGGTCGGAGCAATTGGGGAGAGGATACTATCTACATAGTTAAAGAGCTACTTCACTGAGAACAGTTAATCAAAGCGCCAGAGCTGTCCTAAAAATTAGCAAGACGATGCACCTTTTCAAAAAAGACCGAAACACCCATTAAGGCAGCTGGATTGAAAGGAAGTATCCAAGGATGAAGTGTTTGGAAAAGCTGTTTAGCATTTAGCCCCAACCTAGCAGTGAATTTTCTACACCGATCATTCGAAAAGTCGTGACGGGCATGGGTACAAATAAAAACAAGAGAAGTTTGAGATGAACTGTACTCACTTCTTCAGATATTGAAGAATCGCTCTTATAGTGCAAGTACCGCCCTCGAGCACTGCGCAAACCACGGGTACATGTCGTGTTCCTAAGCCAATCGTTTGCTTTTGTGCTATGAATTCTTCGAAACGTTTACGTAAAATTATATCGGCGCCATAACTGAATATGCATAGACATTCATCCAACAATCAAAGATTCCAAGGGATCCAGCATTAGTGGCGTCACTGAGATGCACTCAAATGCCGGTCATAGCTAACTTCGGTGTACTTCTCTTCAGGTTAGACTCCATGTATCAGTATTATATAGACTTACAAACTGGGGACCAGTTCATCAAAAATTACTTTTTCAAAAAAACATCTGTTTGTTTCCTCACTTTTCGAGACTTTAATATAACTTCCTTTGGCCTAACGCATTTTTGCACTCTAGCTAAATTTTGCTCTTTATCAGATAAATTTAATACTTTTAGAAAGATCTTAGAGTAACTGGAATTGTTTTGTTGTAATTATCTTTGAACAATCTTTTCAATGTCATTAATTCTATTAAATTCCTTTTTTATTCTTCCCTCCTCCATGTAGAGGAAGTCCTTCTTTCCAGTTATTCGTTGCCGGAATTATAAATCAGGATCAAAATTTCTTGTTACTGACGTCGGCGAAGTAAGTCTCGCACACAGAATTTACATTTAAAAAATGCGGAAAATCCAAATGAGCGACAAAAAAATGCACTCACCGCCCGCAGGTACCATTGTCAACAAGTAAAAAATATGAATGCCGATCGTTCAAGGTAGCATATTTGTTTTTGGAGGAAAATGAATGAGGATCATATGGCACAACAATATCTTTACCAATCAGTCTTTCGCGGCGCTTCAGCAGACCCCATGGAGCAATTCCGATTGTTACCACTTTTGATCGCATTCTTTGAAAGAAAAAATCGCTCTTTTATAAAGCATATCAAATTTTTTTTGCTTATTTTTAATTTTTTCCAATTATTACTCCGTTTTATATGCATAAAGACAAACTTATGCAATAGGAGAGAGGCCAAATTTTGACTCATCGTTCTTTTTTCACATGCTTGTTATATAACGATGCATAACAATAGTTACCTGGCTGAAATGCCTGCTTCATCAAGAGCAGTCGCAACGTGTCGCACAACTCCAGCGTCAATTCCAGCTGTGATAATCCATGCGCCTGTTGTCTGTGCCGCTTTCAGTAAGCCTTCTCGAAATACGCGGCCAAGCTTGTCTTGCACCCTTTACAAGGAAGCAATTACCAATGACATCAAAAAAATCCAGCGAACTGGTTCGTCCACGCAAAACTATTTTTGCTAACAGTATTCCGGTGTAGGTATAATTCATGTACTCACTTTTTTTTCAGCCATTGCGGTGCCAGTATTTTCATGTATCAGAGAAGCGCGAAGCGGAACGAATGAAAGGGAGGGAAGGAAACGTGAGGGTAAAGGGAGGTGGTGGAAAAATATGTGCGCCGAGGGAGCGCAAACAAGTATTAAATACGGTTATTTTGATACACTTGCAATAAATTTGCATATTTTATCTAAAGAAGAGAGAAAAATTGAGTTTTTTAAAAATCAAAAAAATTATATTTGAAAAAAATTTTTCCTCATGCATTTTCGATTTTGTAAAAAAAATTTTTCACTAAATCAATTTTTTCTTTAGTTTTTAACTTTTAATATTTTCCAAGTAATTTTAAAAACTCACTCAAAATTAGTGATACCTCCATGAACAGTAATCACAAGACGTGGTGGTTCAAGACCCCAAACTTTATCCAGTAAATACATTATGTCCGCTGGATCTGAATCATAACCGAGTCGAACATAATGTGCCTTATGTGCATGTGCACCACCCTAAACAAATGCTTATTAGAAAAAATTAGAAAATAATCAGTCAACTTGCTGTAAAATGAAGGTTAAGTTTTATGGCATAAAACACTGGAGCAAAGAGCGCTGGGTGAAAATTTAAATCTCCTTTTATACCTACTTTCTATGAGAGGTGAAAGTAACTGGAAGTAGCTGAGGGTGCTGTTGTGTTGTTTATGGTTGTGGATCGCTTTACAGCTCCCGATTGTTCGTGTTACACATCTTGACCACTTGCTGATTTCAGCTGCCAACGGTGTTTCGCAGTGGAACCGGTGATGAGGACGTAATTCTGTTATAGCAAACATTCGTTGGCAAATCTATTGATAGCTCCCTCTTTCGAGAATTGCTTACAAGCAAGCTGATAGTGGGGTTGATTCACTAACATATGCCTGTATAATTTGCCACTGAT